TTGAACCTCTGTCGTGACATTTCCGAAAGAGTCGAGGAAAATAATATCTCTATAGCAACAAGCGCCATGTTCCTTCTCCTCATTTTCCTCATTTTTTCTCAGTTGCAATGTTGCTCCTTGCAGCTTTCCTTGCCAAAGGAGGCCATCATCATATCCTGCGTTTTCCTAAGGGGGGTGGGGGGGGGGGGGAAGGGGGGGAGGGGTCCTTTTTTTTTTATCCCTCGTTTCAGGAATTTCAGGATTCTGTGAGATCCTTTGGGTTTCAAGTGAAGCGAGATGCCTTCCTGAGTGGGGATCAGTTTTTTAAATGATGGTGATGATGGTGGCGGTGGTGATGAGATGATTGATGTGGTGGTGGTGGTGGTGATTGATGATGGTGGTGGTGGTGGTGGTGGTGATGATGATGATGATGGTGGTGGTGGTGGTGGTGATAGTGTGATGATGGTGGTGATGATGATGTGTGATGGTGGTGGGGATGATGATGAATATGATGGTGGATGATGGTGGTGGTGATGATGGTAATGATGGTGATGATGAATATGATGATGAATGATGTGATGGTGATGATCAAATCAATAATAGTAATATTAATAGTGATTGTAGTAGTAGTAGTAATAGTAATGATAACATAAATAAGAATGATAACACTAACAATAATGAAAACGATTCAAATGATAACAGTTATAGTAACAATTATAAAGATCATGCTAATAATGATGATAATGACGGTAATGATAATAATAATAATAATAAAATAATAATAATAGCAATGTCAAACCTTATAATTACTTAAAAAAAAAAAAAAGGATTGCAGGCATAACCTTTGAGATTTTTTTTCAGCAGTTATTATGCAATTACTTTTTTTTAAGAGTCTGGATATATGTGTAATTTCCTTCCTTATGAAAATGAAATGAAACGACATAGAAAAAAAGGAAGGCAGAGAGAAGCAGAATAAAAGGGTGGGTGAGTTAATAAGCTAATAATAATAAAGGTGTTGTCCTTTTCCTCAATTTACTTTCAATTTGTCTGATTGTGATAATATAATGCCAAACGCATTTATTTAATTCAGTTAAAGTAATTAATTTCGTTAAAGTCAGCAAATGGTATTCCAGCTTTCGCATTTTTTCTCCATCTTACACTATACAAAGTTATTGTTACTCCAATTTCAATTTGCTATAGTAATGTCATTTCAAGTTGACTCATAAAACGTATTTAATGCCCTGTAATTTCATACTCTCTCAATTATCATTTATCATGTTTCATTTGAAATAGCTATGAATGCTGAAATAGTTTTTGGATTATGGAGAGAAATTAAAGAGTTAGAGAGAGAGAGAGAGATGAGAGAGAGAGAGAGAGAGAGAGAGAGAGAGAGAGAGAGGAGAGAGAGAGAGAGAGAGAGAGAGAGAGAGAGAGAGAGAGAGAGAGAGAGAGAGAGAGAGAGACGGAAGAAGACGAAAGGGAAAATAGAAGTCGAAATAACAGATGGAGAAAAAAGGAAGAGGAAAAGGAGAGAAAGAGAAAGAACAGGAAGAGGAGGACGAAAGGGAGAGGGATAGTGAGTAAATAAAAGAGAAGATGAAAAAAAAGAAAAGGTGGAGAGAAAAAGAAGAAAGAAAGGAATGGAGATTTATACTAAGAAAGCTAGTACTAATCACGATAATAATGATAAGAAAAAAAACTCATGAAGAGAAATAATGGTAATACCAGAATCAATAATAATGACAACGATAGACACAATAATATCTATCATTATCATTATTTCAATAATAATACACCTCACAAGATAAGAAAATGAAGGAAAAGCGAGCAAGAATACGAGAAAGCAGACAGAGAAGAAGACAAAAGAAAAAAAAAAACAGGAATCAGTAAGAAGAAACGAAAGGAAAAGAAGAGAAGAAAAAAAAAACGATGAAATAAACAGGCACCAGCAAGAGAAAGAAAAGAAAAGGAGAAAAGAAAAAAACGAAGAAACAGGGGAAAGAGGAGACGGAGAGAGAGAGAGGTCCAGCAAAGACCAACACGAGAGCGACAATAAAACTTTCTTGAACATTCCTGAAATGAGGGTCCCTTTCCGAGCTTTGGTGGAAGCAAAACCAGCGGCCGGATTCTTAAAAAGAGCCTCAAGTTAAGTCCCGTTGGAGACCTTAACCGTCCTGCCGTATTTCCCTTGTACAAGAGCCAAGAGTGTTGATTTCCCGTCCGTCGGAAAGAGCTAAAGGCTGCTCTCCCGTTCCCTTAACCTGCGGCGCCTCAACTCGCACCAATAGAGCGGGTCCCTTGCTCTGTGTATGTGTGTCCCTTGCTCTGTGTGTGTGTGTCCCTTGCTCTGTGTATGAGTCGTAAGATCGCTCGTAAGTTAAGGCGCCTTAACGCGTTTGAGAATCCGACCCCAGGACAAGATCAACAGTGATTTTTGTGATGACTTTTTCTATAAAAGAAGAAGAAGAAAGAAAGGAGAAGGAGAAAAAGAAAAAGAAGAAGAAGAAGGAAGGAGGAGGAGGAGGGGGAAAAGAAGAAGGAGAAGGAGAAGGAGAAGAAGGAGAAGAAGAAGAAGAAAGGAGAAAAAGAAGAAAAAAGAAGAGGAGAAGGAGAAGAAGGAGGAGAGAAAAAGAAGAAGAAGAAGAAGGAGAAAAAGAAGAAGGAGAAGAAAAAGAAGAAGAAGAAGAAGAAGGAGGAGGAGGAGGAGAAGAAAGGAGAAAAAGAAGAAGGAAAGAAGAAAAAGAAGGAGAAGAATAAGAAGAACAGAAGAAGAGAAGAAGAGATGACGAAGAAAAAATCTTTCCAATAGCTTGATATATATTATGTCATAACCAATCAAACTCATTCTTTACAATTACGATATTCATAAATAAATCATACCAATAAAAGGAACATATATATAGTACTATGATTGTTTGACAAACGTAGAAATAAGTCATAAGAAGATAAAAAAAAACACTTGAGTTAGATTACGTACACAAGAGTATAATGGAAAGGTCAACGAAGATTAGGAATGAAAGAAAGGAAAATAAAGATAAAAAAAAAACAGTGGAGATTTCAAGCAAAGAGTACAAAGAGAAGAAATGGAGAGGGAGAATGCATCAAAGAAAAGAAAAGAAAAAGAAGAAGAAAAGACAGCTCTAGGGACATGGAGGATAAACTACAAGAAAAGATGGGAAGAAAGAAGAGAAAAGACAAAGGGAAACAGCAAGAAAAGGAAAAGAAAAATTGAAGACTTGAAAAAGTAAAAAGTAAAAGGTTAAAAGAAGAGATAAATACGAAGAAAGAAGGAGACAGGAGGATATCGGAAGAAACTTTCCTCAGACGAAAGGAGAGAGTGAATAGAAAAGGATAAAGTGAGGAAATGTAGGAATGACACCAAAATGTCACTCGCTCAGAAATAGGGGTCAAGAAGCGAAAGCGTGAGTGAGAGAGACGAGAAAGAGGAGAGGGAAAGGGGAAGAGAGGAGGGAAAGAGAGAGAGAGAGAGGGAAAGGGGAAGAGAGAAAGAAAGAGAGGGAAGAGTGAGAGGAGAGGTGGGAGAAAGAGAGGGAGGGAGAGAGAGAGAGAGAGAGAGAGGGAAGGAAAGGGGAAGAGAGGAAGGAAAGAGAGAGAGAGAGGCGGGGGGGGGAGAAGAGAGGGAGAAGTGAGAGAGAGAGGGGGGGGAGGAGAAAAGAGAGAGAGATGAAGGGAAAAGGAGAGAGGGGGAAGTGAGAGAGAGAGAGGGATGGCTGGTATGGTTAGTATTCAGTGATATCAATTAAGATATCATTATCATTATTTTCACTTTCTCATAATCATAAACACGACTCTTGTATGATAATAATAATTGTGATAATAATAATGATAATAACAAATAAGGATAATTATAATAATAATCATATGATAATAATAATAATAATATAATAATAATAATAATAATAATAATAATATAATAATAATAATAATAATAAAATAATAATAATAATATAAATAATAAATAATAAAACAATAATAATAATATTAATATTATCTTTTCTGAGAGAGAGAAAAGAAAAAACAGAAACAAGATATAAAATTCATAAGACGAACGAATTAATTATTTCATAATTCTAGTGATCTTTGCGATAATACGAATGAATGAAAAAGCAATTATTTAAATGAGAAATTAATGAAGGAGACTCAGCGGAGAGGAAATTGTGAATTTAATGTTAGATGAAGAGGATTTGCAATATTATTAATTCACGAAAGGAATAATTAACAGGAGATAATGAGATCGAGAGAATGAGGAGAAACAGATAGACACAATTGATAATATTAATAAAGATTATTATTATTATTATTATTATTATTATAATAACAATAATATCATTAAAAAAACAGCAGTAATAACAACAATAATGACAGTGATAAAAATAATAATCACATTATCAAGATTATGAATAAAACAATTTATAATAATGATAATGACAGTCACAATAATCACAACAAAAACAATAATAACACTGATACCAATAACAATAACAATGTTAATATGATTCATATTGGTATCATGATTTAACTGTTATTAACATCATTATCTTTTTCACCGTTATTTTTTGGTATGATAATGCCAATATAAACAACAACAAAAAACGTAAAAAAAAAGAAAATTAATAAATAAATAACACACCACCGAAATACACAAAATCCCCCCCCCCCCACTCCGAAACACAACCACCAACAACAATAAACAGAAAGAAAAAAAAACTTTTCCTTATGAAAACCAACACAAACATATATCATTAGTCTCTTTATCATTATTGTTGTTATAAATATTACCATCATGAATATCATTATAAAAACACACACACATACACCAGAACGCACAATAGCACCCCCATCACACACAGCCAACCAAAAACAAATAAACGAAGAAAAATATAAACAAAACAACAACAACAACAACAACAACAACAACAACAACAACAACAACAACAACAACAACAACAACAACAACAACAACAACAACAACAACAACAACAACAACAACAACAACAAAATCACATCAGTAGCGAGTCAACACAGGCAATCTCACAGCCTCCTTGCCCACACACGGAGGCAGAGAACCTCATCCGGTTCAAGTACAGCTGCAAACACGGGGAACACAACGAAAAAAAGAAGAAAGAAAAAAAAAAAAAAAAAAACTTTTACGGGGGAACACAACGAAAAAAAGAAAGTTTTTTTTTTTTTTGCTTTGGACACGGTGGGTTCCCCCCGCACCGTCTAGCTAGAATCAACACTGTAACAGAAACCTAAGGGCTAAGGAGTGGGTGAACAGGGTTGGGGTTGGGTTGGAGTGGGTGAACACAGGGTGGGGTTTGGGTGGGGTGGGTGACACAAGGCTGGGGTTTGGGTTGGAGTGGGTGAACACGGGGCTGGGGTTTGGGGTGGAGTGGGTGAACACAGGGCTGGGGTTTGGGTTGGAGTGGGTGAACACAGGGCTGGGGTTTGGGTTGGAGTGGGTGAACACGGGCTGGGTTTGGGTTGGAGTGGGTTTGGGTTGGAGTGGGTGAACACAGGGCTGGGGGTTTGGGGTGGAGTGGCGTGAACACAGGGCTGGGGTTTGGGATGGAGTGTGAACACAAGTGGGGTGGGTGAACACAGGCGGTGAACACAGGCTGGGGTTTGGGTGTGTGAGTGTGGGTGAACACAGGGCTGGGGTTTGGGTTGGAGTGGGTGAACACAGGGCTGGGGGTTTGGGTTGATGTGAACACAGTGGAGGGTGAACACAGGGCTGGGTTTGGGTTGGAGTGGGTGAACACAGGGCTGGGGTTTTGGGTTGGAGTGGGTGAACACAGGGCTGGGGTTGGGGTGGAGTGGGCGTGAACACAGGGCCTGGTTGGGTTTGGAGTGGGGTGAAACACAGGGCTGGTTTGGGTTTGGAGTGGTGAACACAGGGCTGGGGGTTTTGGGTTGGAGTGGGTGAACACAGGGCGGGTTTTGGATGGAGTGGTTGAACACGGGGTTTGGGTTGGAGTGGCGTGAACACAGGGCTGGGGTTTGGGTGGAGTGGGTGAACACAAGGGCTGCGGGTTTGGCGTTGGAGTGGCGTGAACACAGGGCTGGGTTTTGGGGTGGAGTGGTGAAACACAAGGCTGGGGTTTGTTGGAGTGGGTGAACACAGGGCTGGGGTTTGGGGTGGAGT